ATGTTAAATGGAATCTCAAATAATCTGCAATTCACGATTACTGATACGCGTCAAAAGTCAATTAACTGTTTCAAAGTCCCTTTTGGGAGGTACTGGTTGAGCCCTACTTTAATCATAATACGCAAGTATGGCCAGCTCTATGGTAATACATGTGTCCGTGGGCACATGTGGTTCGCACCCCCAAAAATTAGTAAATAAGCGAGCCCATTTGGCAGGGGATATGTTGTGAATTTTATCTAGCGTGTAAAAATTACTAACAAATGGCGCAAAATTAAATTTGGCTTATGAGTTGGAACTGACAAATCGCCAGCAAAGATATCGTAGTCTATGTCGTTAAAATACGAAATTAGCATACTAAAGTAAATGATGCCAACCCTCCGTTGCCCAAAAAACACACACACACACACGTGTAGCACAACATTTTGGGCAAAAAGTGTAAGAACTTAGAGGTAGAAATTAAAAATGAATAACATAAAATAAGGCGAACTTGGGTTGAAAATGGAATTGGAATTGGGTTCAATGGGGTTTGAGTCACGACCGGTTGGACCTAAATGTAAGCAGGCTGTCGGAAGCAAATCAACACATCTCGTTCGAGCCCTGTGCTTGGGTGTGCTTCTGTGGCAGTCGATCTCCGTTAGAGCAGTGAGTATCCTGCTTGGGGTGGTTTCATGTTAAATTGGTTGTCGCCGTCTTTATGTCACCTTTGACACCGTCTGGTCATTGGCATGACGAGGCAGACAAGGCAGAGCTTCGGGTCGGTCGCCAGCCTCAGCATGACCATCGAAATTGGATTGCCTGCAACGGTGGCTGCTCTGAGACTGAGAGCTACGACAATGACGTGCACGAGCACGAGCTGGAGTCGTCCTAGCGACCATTTAGCTCCCAAGCTCACAATGACGACAGTAAGTTGGATGGCAAGGCCATCTTAAGAAACGATAATGACAACCTAATAAACTGTTGCCCCCGACAACAGGGCACATCAGACGCTCCTGCCGATGCCGATGCCGCTGACTACAGAAGGAAATTTCGTATCAGTTTGAGGTTTAAACAGCTTCGAAATTCAAGTATGTTCACACACACACAAGCATACCAGAACATACACACACACACAGACACACATACTTGGGCGAATGTCGTTCAAGCGTTAAATAGAAAACTTTATAGCTGCTCGGTAACTTGGCAACACTTCCCTTAGCCTTGTCGACATCAATTGAAGCACCTTTTGGCACACGCACACACACACACGCGCACACACATCGACTGCAATAAGTGGGCTTTCAATTAACATACTGGCACGCCCCCTTCCAGCCCACATATGACACTCGGCGCGTAAGCAATTTGACTTCAGGTCATTATTAACGCCTTCAGCTGGCGCCTGACAATGCGTTCGCCTCGAGCTTCAAATTCAGCTATCACAAATATTCTGTAGCTGTTGGCGCCTGCTAATTATGTCATCATTAGAGAAGCACACACACTCGCATACTCGCATACTCGCACGTAGACGTGCAATAAATTGAAATGTCATTGTCTCCGTTATGCGACAATTTGCGTATAGCGGGGGCACGAGACTAAGTGATGTGTCCTCTGCCACACCCCCCGCAGTTTGGGACATGTTGTTTGCTGTTTATTATGATTCCGCTGTCAAGCAATTGGCTGTGTGTGCGTGTGTGTGTGCGTGTGTGCACAAATCTTTAATTGTCAAAATTTCGCACACCTATTAGATGACTTTCAGCGCTAATTGCTTCGAATTATAATAATATTTGAGCAATTTAAAATAGGTTTTAAACAATATATGCTGATTATAAATATCTTATTGAGAAAATATGTCTACACAGGTCCATAAGAAAGGTTATCCTATTAGCGCTAATGTGTGTGTGATTGCTAGCTAGAATGTATCGGCTTTACTTCCACACTCTTCCGCCTTTGGAGCGCACTTACCTACGATTTAAGTATAAATGCAATTAGCAATGAAACAGTTCAATGCACGCTGGCAGCTTGTAATTCTCAACAAGTTAAATCTTTGAAAAGGGGAAAAGGAATCGAGCCACAGACTCTGGAAATAGCTTTACAGGCAAACTGCAATTTTTTTGGTGTTCACACCTTGTTGTTTTTTTTTTATATATAAACAGAAGCCAACAATAACCTTGATTCGGTCAGCTTTATATTAGCAAATTTCTTTATGATTAGCATAAGCCAAAACTCCGTCCTACTATTTACTTATGTACATCATAAAAAATAAGTGGTGTTTGTACTGGTCTGCTAAATTAAGTAAAGAGGCGATCAAAAGTATTCTTAGCATGTCTGGCTTCCCGTTAACATCCCAGTTGATAGTATATACGAAGAACTTATTAAAGTTCTGAGTTATTACATTGATAAAATATGTTTCTTATGTACAACTCTTAAAGGCAATCTACAAGCTTGGATTTTAGCGCCCAATCTAACCGATCATCCGGTCTATAACTAACAGTCTGATTTCCTTATGCAATTTGTGCAGAATGCAGCTAATTTTAATAATATATGTACATTTTTCGCATTATCGGTTCGTTTTAATTATACAATTAGTTTTGTTATCACAACTTTTCCTTTATCGATTGTTATAGTTTTAAAAGTCTCAATTTCATTCATTTAAATGGATAATAAAGAAAATGATTAATGTTAAATGTGACAGAGCTATAATTAAAGTAACGGTAATAACGATGATAATTAAAAATTGAGCCACTTTCGATAACTATCGACAATTATAATCGTGCAACACTTATATATAATGAATAAATATTAGGAACATAAAAAGTGGCAAAATATAAGTCGCTTTGTGTAAACATCATAAATCAAAAAAGTTTTTTAAACTTGAGCTCAATTTTTGACAGATCCTTCCCATGGCAGCCAAGTGATTAACCAAACCGATCGGGGAGACTTCGACTAATGCCATACGGACAGAGACAGAGAAACAATTCAGATTGTTATCCGCATCTAGAATACAAATCCTGATGGCGTCGAAGAAGTTTTCCTTAGCACAGTTCATGACAAAATTATATTAAACCCCAGCAAGTGCATAAAACTCGTTTACTTTCAAACCGTTTTCTAAACATAGTTTTGTTTTATAGAAAACTGGAAAATTGAATTGGCATACAGACTGTGTAAAGGAATTATGTACGTGAACATCTGACAGCATTCCCCAAGGCATTGCTCACTTGCATCAACTGCTTTGTCATGATTATGATACTTTTTTTATTTCTGGGTTCTTTGGCTAATTATGTGATTTATTTGAATCTGTCAGCGTCATTTAATATGCGCTTAGCACTCATCCATTAGCCTTGCCGTCTTGAATAAATTGAATAGGCCAAAGTGCATGCAAATGCCCGGAACACAGATGCGAATACGGACCCCAGAGAGGGACCCAAATACTCCAAATATGTTTATGCCCTTTACCGGTCGCATCAGTTCGGTTGGTTAAAGACGGTCTTTTTAGTAGCTGGTTTGGCGTTTTCGCTTTCAAGTTTGCCCATTAATTTAAACTTTTTATTTGCCAGCTTTCTATCTATGCCAACTTCCAAGAGCCGGCTATAAATTCGACCGGCCCGTTTTAACCCCTTAAATGCGGGTTGGGGGCGGAGCTGCGGGCGAGCGCACTGCAAAAGTAAAGCGAATTAATTTTCTTAAAAGCTTTTCTTGGCGTCGCTGATTATCTGACCGGCTCTTTCTCTTTCTCTCGCTCTCGCTCTCTCTCTCTCTTTCTCTTTTTCTTTCTATTCTGCTCTCGTTATTCCCTGTCTGGCTTCCTGGGCGTTTGCCAGGAGCTGCAGGTCCTTATTATTTCATTTAATTTATTAACTTTTATTCATTTTTTGCTTTTAGTTGAAATTTTATTAACGAAACTTGGCACGCTACTTAAGAAACTATATACAATTTTTTTTTCACTGTGCTTAAATTTATTTTTAATAAATTTCTCAATATTTTGTGATTTATAGTTTAAATATTCATTTTTCTTTTTAATATTATATTTGGTTTCGTCTATTTTCAAAAAAAAATTGTTTGCCTTATTGACTTAATACGTTAGCAATATTTATGGAGCATAATATGTTCAATTTCTCAATGTACACAGATGGTATCTCTCTCTAAATTCTATATAATTATTGCCCAAACATTCACCAGCCGCACCTCATAATGGGCGCTGCTAAGTACATTTCTTATTTATATTGGGCAATGCTAATTAGTTTAAATTCGATATGTGATCCGGCTTAACTTGGAATTCTAAAGAAAAAAAAAGTAACAGACACACTGTGCGAGGATCGTGCGAAGAGTTTTAAGTTTTAACTACAATTAAATTCTTATTTCTTTTCTTTTTAGAAAAGAAAACATTCGAACAATTTAATGTCGCGATGAGTAGAATTTAGGAATAGGAAAAATTAGGAATAATATAAAATTGAATTTATCAAGTCCAGTGAAAGAAAAAATGGTTGAAAGTTCTCTAGTCGAAGTGCCTGGAGATATCCTGAGCCCCGCGCCAATTTATCTTTACAAATATTCAATTTATACAGCGGCTGTGCTTCGTGTTGCTTGTTTATGTATCTATGAAAAGCTTCGTTGCTCATACTCCGATTTCTATGAAACTTTTAAGACACTATTATGGATCCCAAATGTGTGTAAGTACCAAATCGCATGGTTCTGGCTTAAAACATTTGTATTTTTTTTTAATTTTCGTATCTAGCTCTCATCATATTTGAGTTATGTTTCATATAACATGTCTCAAAATCGATATTATGGGTATGGAACGGAATATGGACAGGAGAATGGCATGTTCGTTCTAAGAATGGAGTATAAGAAGATATATATTTCAAATGTCAAGTCTCTGGCTTATGTAGTTTCCAAGATCGATACGTTCACTAAGACGGACAGACGGGCGGACGGACACCCATGAGAAGATTGATCCAGCTCGTCGTCTTGATAAGAAATATATTTACTCAAAAGGGCCGGAGACGCTGCCTTCTGCCTTTACATACATTTGCCCAAAACCAGTATACCCTTAATACCCATTTTCAATGAGTATTTTCAATGCAAATACTGGGTATATATAAATCAAAAGTACAGTTAAATGAAATAAGTTGTTAACATTTATCGTGCAAATACTTGAAACTCTTGTGTGAATGTGCTATCAAATACTCTCTTCAATTCTAAGCAATATGTTTGCTGAGAAACCCTCGCACCCTGCGATATGATCTAAATTCATAATGGAGCAGCCGCTCAGCTGGCAGCTAAGCACAGCCTACGGTTGCGCCCTCTGTCTCTGTGGAAGTCCGTGTCCGTCGGTGGCACGCGCCGCCAGGCAACTGCCCAGCAAGGCGGCCGCCAGCCGCTAGTAGGGACGCCAGACGTCCGCCGTCGGCTTTGGCGTACGCGTGCGTATCGGTCCGCCAGCGCCGCTGGAGCCGCTGGCCGATCTCGATGTGGTGCTAACATCATCAAGATCAATTGTCTCCACGGGCGATGGTGAACGGCGCGAGGAGCTAACTGGCGGTGATGCGTTCGGATTGGCGTTCTCCGCATCTGGCGGATTGTGCGTAATGAGCGTGACACAGCGCTTAATGAGGTTGACGCCGTCGGCATCACTGGCTACCGCTGGTAGAGCCGATCCTGGCTCCTGCTGCTGGGGCTGCTGTTGCTGCTGTGGAGCTGTGTTGGCCACCGCTGCAGCTGCCGCACTTCGCAGCCAAGGTAGATCGCTGTAGCTGCCGTAGAGCTGCGTGTAGAGCCACTGGCTCGACTGCGGCAGGAGCGGACTCTGAAGGAAGAGCTGAGCCGCCAACGCTGGGTTGAAGCTGTGCGCCGTCGGCGCAAAGTGGCCTGCACCGGCAGCAGCGAAACCGCCGAACAGCTCGCTGGGATTCTTGCTGCGCTGGATGAGCGCGGTGAAGGCGCCGCCGCTGCCAGGTGCCGGATCTGCAAGCGTTGCCACACTGCTGGCATCCGCGCTGAGCAGCGTGGGGCTGCGGCTGCGTCCCGCCTCCGGATCCGGCTCCTCCTCGTCGTGCGTCAGCGAGCAGATGCTTTTGCGCGGCGATCCTGTCACCGAGATGCTGTCGCTCTCGAAGCCCGCATCGATATTGCTACTGCTGTTGTTGTTGTTATTGTCGTGGTGCTGCATGCTGCTGAAGGTCAGCGGCGGCGAGCTGCCCGCGCTGGCATTGCACGCCGGCGGTTGCACAAATGCGCTCAGGGTTGCGCTCGTCGTTGTCGTTGGTGAGCCCTCCGGGCTGGTGGTGCTATGCGCCGCGCCCACTGTCGCCAACTGCTGCTGATTGTCTGTCCAGCCGAAGGAGCAACAAAAAAGAAGAAGAAAGATCACTTAAAAATCTGTTTCGGTAAAGGAGAAGAGATAGGAGATGCCTTACCGCTTAGGCCACGCAGACCGCTGGCCGCTGCACCCGGGAAGGTCGCTCCATGGTGATGCGCAAAGAAGGGGCCAGCGGGAAAGCCCGGACGTCCACCTAGCGCCATGTGTGCTCGCCAATCGGGCGCATGCAGATGACTGTGCATCCCAACCAAATGATGTGCGAATCCTGGGAACGAGAAAGGAGGAAACGAATAAATCACATGTAAGGGAGCTCCAATCGAGAGTGCTCGATTGGACGATCCTCTGTTCTGCCGTAGCATACATTAGAATTTCCTTTTGTATATATATGTATTTATGCAAGTAAGTCAAGATAACTTCCACTTTTTTAAAAAATAACGTGCTTTTAAATGTTGCTCTCCTTTGCGATTCTCATGAGTTTAAATAGGACTTGCAGGCCGTTATATTTTTGGATACATTAATGTGTTTATGTATGTTTGTTTTCTTATGCTGTCCTCTGCGACTCACATGCATTTTAGTATATATGTACATTCACATATACATATTAGGAGTTGAACAAAATTGGGCACATCATTTTGGTTTCCATACTCTTATAATTATTTTTCTGCAATGTTTGTCTCTCCATGAAAGCAATATTTATTTGACGGTATGGAAACCAGAGACTGGAAACTAGAAATATGTATATATAAGCTCGTGAATATCCGGACCAAACAAATTGTTCACATTTTCGGCCACGCCCACTAGGCGACTGACTGCGAAATTCAATATTTCCTTATTAGGCATTCTTAGATAGACTGCTAATGGGATTAAACCCTGTTTGTAAGAAACATAAGCTTAATAATTTTCATACAAAGGAAAAAGATAATCAGTTTGTAGACTATAATAACAAGAACTTAAATCTTAAATTCCTTGATTAGCGAGCAAATTCCAATAGCTCAAGGCTGAGGAAAAAAATAAGACCAGCGTAAGCCAGGACCAAATTATGAGTTCACGTCCAAGTCCAAGCACAAGAACATAAGCAAGTCCAATGCCAAACCCCAACCGAAGCCCACCAGACCACATATAGCCCACTATGCAAGACCAAAAACGTTGCCGCACATTTTGGTCGCTGCAAAACAACACTAGGCAAAATTCCCGCCCACTAGCCGCCGCCGCCGTCGCCGCTGTCGCCTCCGCACCGCCTTCTCCTATGATGTGATCAACAAGCCGCCATATTGCTGCTTATGTAAATGCATCTTTGTCTCCCCTCAAGCGGCGGACTACTCTGTATGTGCACGCCCAATGAGAGTTCCACCTTTGATGGGACGAACGGAGCAGACAGGCAGGACAAACGGACAGTCAGGCTGGCATTCACAGGCCTGGATGCTGCTTGGCCAAATCTGGCAGCGAGAACGAGAGCAAACGGAGCTGCCCGAGCAGCCAGAGCAGCCAGCAGCAACGAGGCGAGCTCAAGGTAAACTCCTAAATAAATTCATTAAAATTATCCCAGTCGACGATGTCGTTGCTCCGTCTGGACGCGGCCGTCTCACTCGCCTCGACCCTTTTGGTCCAACTCCTACGGCGTTGCCGCTATCAAGTGGCAGCCCACATTTGTGGGCAAGCGGAGGAAGCTGCTCTGGCTGCAAGCCATTGGGTCGACAGTCCTAGCATGGAATGGGCGGGGAGGGGTCGGGCATGTTGCAGCTACCAAACAGCCTCAAATACCAGGCCGCAGTCGCACATAGTACGCGGTCGACGGCGACGCAGGCTGAAGATGCTGCAAAGTAAGGCACAGTTGACTCATTGCTGTCTATGTATGTGAGTATGCCAGTGCGTGTGTGAGTGTCTGTGTGTGTCTGTGTATGTATGTGTTTGTTTTTTTGTGTGTGTGTGTGTGTGTGTTTGTGTGTATGTGAGTAAGTCGCACTTAAGAAAACGCCAAGGCAACAAACATTGAGCAAATCTTGTCTCGCTTAGCTCCTCTCGCTTCTGCTCGCAGAGACGAAGACGAAGACCGACCACAACACACTCACACATACTCACACACACATACACACACACACGCCGCCCACATGCGCGCTCTCAACTGCAATCGCTTTGGCTCTCTCCGTCTCTCTCTCGCCCATTCTGTCTGTCGTGCTCTGCGTTGGCTGTCTCTGTCCCGCTCTGTCGCACTTGAGGCCAAATACTTGGCCAAGTTTTGCCAAAGTTTGCAACCAAAATTTCACCGAAAATGTGACACCAACAACCCACCAACGAACCAACCAGACCAACCAGTCGTCAGACAGGGACAGGACCCGGCTCAGGAGCAGGAGCAGCAGCGTAAACGGGATCGGGAACGAGAGCGGGAACATAGTAAGTAATGCTGGCTGCGACACTGTCTGAGGCAGCACACAAAGAGCCATCCAAGACACGGGGCACACACATTCACATTCACATTCTCAGAGACAGGACTGGAGCCATATTTGCTGCTGCTGCATAACTTGATTGGCATGCTGCGTTATCCTAATCCCTTGACATACTTACATAAGCATAAATATGGCTACAATAACTACTTAAACTATAACAAGCTGAAGTTGAATCAAAATCATATATGCCACTTGATACTCCTTCTAAGTTCAAGTACTTTTATGTAGGTCAAACAGCTGTGCTGCATTGTTTGGCTGGCGGTGCGGGAATGGTGCGGGAATGGCGCGGGAGTCTGTCTGGGATTTTGATGAAAACTTTTGATTTTTACAGCAGATAAAGCAATTCGCCGTAGTCGATAAAATTTCCATGCATCGCCATTGCCTTTGTCCTCTCAAGGAATTCGCTTATGAATGCATCCGTTCAAATTAATATTGACTTTTATTTCCATCTATTATCTGCCGCAAAAAGCTTCAAGTAACTAAATGTAAGCCCAACATTACAGATTGAAAAATTGTTTTAAATATCATTTTGTTATTATTTTTAATATATCTTGAAGCCGCCTTAGAATTCGTTTTGTGACTCTAGTTTACCTCATCCATTAACCCAGGTTTGTGTTCAGACCTTGCTTTCTCTTATGATATATTGCATTTTTAAATGCAACAAATCAATTTTTAATTTATAAGTGATCGTTCTGCTGCATGTTCTAGATATTTTCATATACAACTTTGGTTTCTATCCAAGTCTAAAGGTTGGGGCCCAACATATTTAAGAATCGAGAAGAATTTCGGTTAAGGTTCGGTTCATAGGTTAAAATATGCCGGAATTTCGGGTTCGATTCCTTAAGTTTTGTAAGATTGCATATTTAAAAATAAATGTGAGATATTTAAGTTTCTTTTAAAAGAGCTAAGGCTAAAAAAAAATAAACCTAATACTATTGTTTTAAATAATTAATAATTTTTTAAAAACTGGCTAAACTTTTAACAAAAATAAATATTAACAAAATATTAATAATTTTATTTATTACAGGTAATATTACTCATTAAAATACTAATAATAATTAGACTCGAATCATTGACAAAATTTATAATAAAAATCAATATTAATAATAATCGTAATAATAATAAAAATAATAATAAAAGTAATAATAATAATAATAATAATAATAATAATAATAATAATAATAATAATAATAATAATAATAATAATAATAATAATAATAATAATAATAATAATAATAATAATAATAATAATAATAATAATAATAATAATAATAATAATAATAATAATAATAATAATAATAATAATAATAATAATAATAATAATAATAATAAAAATAATAATATAATTAATTATAATAATAATAAGTTAGATGTCATATTAAATAATATAATATCATTGAAAACTTTTCCAATAATCTCTCAAATATTGCAATGAAAATATATCACACTTTTCGTACTTTCTGACGTTTGCTATTGTAGATTTTTGAATTAAAAAAATGGTATAAATATTTGAATATTAAAATAGTAATGAGAAAATATAAAACTATGCCTTAGTTCTCAAACCAATAATTATGGCACTTGGCTGTGATACATATATATATACTAGCGGGTATAACTCGGCCTTGCCCGTGGCACGTATGTTATAAAATCAATGTTGTCAAACAAATTTGAAATGATTTTGAAACTGATCGGACGGTAAACAAATAACTTTCATACAACCGTTTTCCGCCAATTTACCACTGTTGCGAGTGGAATTTCCCAAATCGCTGAAATACGTACTTATTAAGTTTTTATGTAGAGCTTTGAAAATAAGTTTGCAGCAAATCGGACACAACTTAAAACTTCGCACAAAAAATCTTTGAGTCGCATTCCACCCGAAAAAGTTTGGATTCTGCGAAAAGTGTGAAACACGTCTCAAATGATTTTTCTTATAGATCTCTGGAAATGAATTTGAGCGCGAAACGTCACCCACCAAATCTTTGACCTCCATTTCCACCCAGGAGGAACGGATTTTCCTAAAAGTGTGAAACACCCCTCAAATGAATTTGAACAAAGATCTTTGAAAATAAGTTTGAGGCCGGATGGTAAACAAAAAAGTTATATACAAAAGTTTTTTCGCGATTTTTCCACACTTGCGGGTGGAATTTCCCGAAACCCCGTCTTAACGTGCACCTACATCACATAAGCTAACTACAGTGCAAATTTCAGCTTCCTAGCTCTTACGGTTTGGGCTGTGCGTTGATCACCAATCAGTCAGTCAGTCAGTCAGTCAGTCAGTCAGTCAGTCAGTCAGGACAAACAGTTTTATATATAGAGATATATATATATATATTTATATATATATACATATATATTTTGGATGTAGTTTTTAAAGCAGAAACTTTGCGTTTTAGTTTCCGTTCTTTCTCTTCTGCTATAGCTTAACGTGCATTAGCACTCATTATAGTATTTATTTTAGTTTTATATGATTACAAAGTTCTGAATGTGCTCATGCCATTAGCATTTGCAGTGCACTAACTGGTCCTTTTTATGTTCATATATATGTGTGCGTATGGATATATATGTATATATGCTTATATATGCAGATTGTACCTACATACATGGAAATAAATATGTTTATATGTATGGCGTCTGCTATGTACAGCTGCCAGCTGGGGCATAGGGGCATAGTTGTTGGATTTTAGTTGTCACACAAAATGGCAGCAGTAACAGCCCACAAAACTGCGACGATCACAAGCTCACACACACACCAATGCAGACACGCCCACGCTCTCGAGAGCTATTTGAAGCCAGCAGCGACAACCGACGGTGAAGCAGCAGC